TCTGAGTCTGTCTGAGTCGGTCTGAGTCGATCTGAATCGGTTTGAGTCGGTCGAGTCAGTTTGAGTCTGCCTGAGTCGGTTTGAGTCTGCCTGAGTCCGCCTGAGTCTGTCTGAGTCGATCGGAATCGATTTGAGTCGGTTGAGTCGGTCTGAGTCAGTTTAAGTCCTTCTGAGTCTACCTGAGTCGGTCTGAGTCGATCTGAATCGGTTTAAGTCGGTCGAGTCAGTTTGAGTCTGTCTGAGTCTGTCTGAGTCGTTCCGAGTCTGTCGGAGTCGATTGGAATCGACTTGAGTCGGTTGAGTCTGTCTGAGTCAGTTTGAGTCGGTCTGAGTCGATCTGAATCGGTTTCAGTCGGTCGAGTCAGTCTGAGTCTGCCTGAGTCGGTTTGAGTCTATCTGAGTCTGTCTGAGTCATTCTGAGTCTGTCTGAGTCGATCGGAATCGATTTGAGTTGGTTGAGTCAGTCTGAGTCAGTTTGAGTCGTTCTGAGTCTATCTGAATCGGATTGAGTCGGTCGAGTCAGTTTGAGTCTGCCTGAGTCGGTTTTAGTCTGCCTGAGTCGTTCTGAGTCTGTCTTAGTCGATCGGAATCGATTTGAGTTGGTTGAGTCGGTCTGAGTCAGTTTGAGTCGTTCTGAGTCTATCTGAGTCGATCTGAATCGGTTTGAGTTGGTCGAGTCAGTTCGAGTCTGCTGAGTCGGTTTGAGTCTGCCTGAGTCTGCCTGAGTCGTTCTGAGTCTGCCTGAGTCGATCGGAATCGATTTGAGTCGGTTGAGTCGGTCTGAGTCAGGTTGAGTGGTTCTGAGTCTATCTGAGTCGGTCTGAGTCTGTAGGTACGTTATCATCTCCTACCCAGTGACGTCACAGCATGCGTCGGCTTGGCACGGCGGCCACAGGTGGGTGCGGCTACTTGCGGTATCTCGCTTTGGTCGAGTTGGGCTGCAAACTTGGCGGTTTCGCAAAAGCGTAGCCCACAATTAGCCGCACCCCAGTGGCCCGGGGCGTCGCCATCGGTGTGGGTACGCCGGGTCATGGGGTTCGCGCGGCCGCCGTCCGGGACGGTCGATAGAGGGACTGACGCTGCGCCCGGGCACGGCTGGTGACTGGTGGTGTTCGGTGGTGTGCGCACGCACATGGAGTGGGGTGTTGCTTGAAGAGATGCCTTACTCATCCTCACCCTATAGAGCAAAAATGTCGTTGGAGACCACTCAGAAAGAAGGAACTGAGAAAGAGTTTGTCTTCTGCAGGGTGCACTGTGCAGGCACTTTCCATGGTCCTAGATTTTTTTTTTTCAGAAGTGTTTTTCTTGTAGACAGGACAGTTTTTTGCTTATTTCATTTTATTTTTGCTTATTTGTTTTATATTGAAGTGACTTTGGCTTCGTTGAATTTTTGGAAATAGTTTAGCAATTCGCTGTTTTACTTTAACTCTTGTTGCAGATTGATGTCACGGACGCCTGATGCCATTGATCTGTGCCGATATATTTGATCGGATCCATATAATAGACACATAACCGCTGCATTGCTGCTTCTGCCTGGCTTGTGCGGGCTTCCAGAGAAAGTTTCATGTTACATTTATCCAGCGTCGCGAATAAGTTTTGATCATCAGTGATGTTCTGGAAGTTAAAAGAGGTCGGCTTTCCAATGCCCTTTCAGAACAGTGCGTCGTAGGCCTTCGTGAAACACATCCACAAGCAGCCCCGTGATCTTTGAACGTCACTTTGCGGCTCTGGAGAGCATCCTCCCACCGGACATTCCTCTCCATCTCGTAAAGCTGCATTTGTGCGTCATCGTCACCGCCGCGCGGCCGTCGCCGGCGCGGCGGCTATGAAGGGCATTGGCGAATGGCCTTGAGCGCGCCGGCCGACCCAGAGGTCTATGGAGCCGGCACGGCCCGAGTACACACCGCAGCCGGCCAGAGGTGGCCAGTGTGGACCCCGCCGTGGCACAGCCGGGCCCCGGGCGCGACCCGGCAGCGGCCGGCTGCACACTGCACAGCGCCGCGCGAGTTGATTGCGTCAGACGGCGGCGATGGGCCGCCGGCCGCGGCGGGCGGAGCTCCGTGTGGTGCTGACGCAACCGGCTGACGCTCGGCCGGCCGCCGCGCCGCCCGCTCCGCCGGCCAGTCGAGCTGGTCACGCCGAGCGGGGGACTGTGTGTGGGCGCGCTGCCGTTTGGCGAGATTGAGCGGTGTTTTCGGGCACGCTGAGACGGATTGTGAGCACCAGAGTGGTGCGGTGAGCTGCAGAAGGAGCCACGGAGGACGAGGTGAGAGTGCACCCTTGAGTGCACCGCAGTACACTACTCACCGCGGTGAGAGCGGCGGGTCGGACCCGGTGGCCCAGGTGTCGCCTCGGCAGCCGAACTGCCGAGTCACTGTCCCTGCCGCCGGCGGTGGCGCCCTGTCATTGTTTATTGGTAGTGCAGAGGGGCCTCTCGCCACGACCCGGCGCGCCTGTGTCGCTAACGAGCTGCTCACGAGGTGGTCAGACCCTGATGTTGATGTTCGGTTCTGCTCATCCGGGTCGATGTTGCAGAGTTTCGGCTTTGTCATTGTTGTTTTAGCTTCAGTGTGTGCAAGCGTGTGCGACGTAAACATGGACGTTGAATCTTAACTGATCCCTATTGATTTATATTTCTTTGTTTGACATTTTGACAAATTTATTGTGTCATTGACTCATTTGACATCAAGGTGATGAAAGAACAGAAGTGTTGTGCTCGTCATGAGCATAAATGTTTTATGAGCTGTTTTTCACCTTTTAGAGAAAAATATACTCGGAACGATAATCGATTAGAAGCCGGCCGAGAACCGATGTTTGACGAGTTGGAGTGTCACGTTGACTGGACAGTGGACAAGGTTTCCAGGCTCGGATCACGCGTGCGGCGCGTGACTCATTGTAAAAAGTGGTGCCTGATGACACAGCCGCGTCCCTTTGCTCTGGGATGCAAATACTTGGCGCGCGTTTTTGCAGAGGTTCTCCTGATGTCGTCAGCGTGAGAAGATGAGCTCCTTTGTGTGCGTGCAGCAGCTATACCTGTGCAGAATAAGGCAAACTTCAGTCCAGATGGGTCGTTTGTTGTATTCGATTAGCTGTTGTGACGGAACTGACGAAAAACACGCGTCCTAATGTTCAACTAGGTCACCCATTTCATCACCTTTCATCATACAAATGTAAACGTGGCATGGCGGAACATGGGCACTTGGACGGCAAAAAAAGCGGTTTAAACGTGTGGCTGTTCCAAGCGTTTTCCATTCATAGAGTTAGTTCTATTCACGATGGCTTAGCATTTTGACTTCTTTGTTGCATAGGTATTCAATAGCGTATATTTCGTCTCTTGATTTATCTCAGGCTAGTACTAATGACTACATAGATTGTAGATAGATGTAGATTCTGCTCCTACGGGTCACCGTAGTTCTGTCGGCGTTCGATACGGGGGGAGGGGACTGGAATCACCCTCCGGTCGTCGCGGCGGCCCCCGTCGGCCCATGGCAGGCCGGCCGTGGGTCTCTGTCGACCTCGTGCGGCCCCACCGCCGACGAGGGCGGGCGCTCAGCCGAGTCCAGTGGCTCTCAAACTGGACCTGTCGCCCACTCACACTATGCGAGCTCCCATTGCCGGCACCTGCGCCCGGTTTGGAAGACTCCGGGGCCTCTGACGAATATGTGTCGACTGCACGGCAGGGATGACGTCAATAATGGCAGTGGGCCGACTCCAGTGACGTGGTGAGGGGTCACGGGGTCCGAGACGCCACCTTCCCAGAGCGGCTCGCTGCGTCGTCTCCCTATGATATACATAGTAGTGGTGTCAATCGGAACTTGAATCTTCGGAATTCCGATTTTGTCCAATGTCCAATTCGGAATTCGGTTGGACAATGGCAGCAGACTTTGGACAACTTTGGACAATCGCTTGCTACACCTCAATATTTTTAAAAAGTAGTCGTGTTTAACATTGATTGGCTATTAGAAAGCTCAGCTTTCGATATGATTAACACTTTTGAGCTTGTAACGGTACATGAAAAGCAAATTAAATAACAGTATTGAGTGTAAACTATTGCGTAGGTGTCGGACATCTTTGGACAAATGGCTGGCTTGGACATTTTTGGACGGACAATCGACGTAAGCATTGGACATTGGACGGACTTTGGACATACGTTTTCTGAAATTGACACCACTAATACATAGGTGTGCTAGGGTGGCACAGTGACGGTTACGTAACACCGTACTGTCGCCCGTATCGAACCGCAGCCGAGTGGGGCCTTGGTGGTCAGACTTTTGCATGCATGAACTCCTTCAGTTTGTTATTGTTGTCGACTGCAAACCCGTCGATTAGATCGGTTGATTAGCTTCCGATAAGGTTCTCTAGGACGATAAATGGGAGGGTGACATATGTAGTGTGAGCTGCTGGCTATCTTCCTGTTCAAGTGCCCTTGTTCCGTCGTGCGCCTCGGACATTGTTTCGTGGGCCGGTCAGAGCCGGTTTTCCGACCTTGGTGCCCGTTCCTCGGTCAGTTCTCGTTCATTCTGATGAGAGGATTTTCCGTTCCCGATTCCTACCCTTATTGACTCTCCAAAACGATCTCGCGCACTTGTCTGGTTTCTGTATTAGACGACGTCGTTCACATACGACTTCATTGGCGGATCCAGACTAAGGAAAGCTCTTTCCTCCCATTATCGCCAACTGCGCCCTCGCTCTACCCGGCGGACGCCGACGTGGCTCGATGACCGTATTGCCGGGAGGCGGCGCCTGGGCGTTATATAACCACCTACCACAGGAATGTAAAAACCTGTCCCGGGGAAATGTTGTCCCGGGGAATCGAGCTGCGCGCTTGTGTGGACTGTAAGCTACTCACCGCTTGGCACAAGAGAAGGCAGAGAGTAGCTTGTGCGAGTGTTTTGAGTTTTGTGACTGAGGTGTTCCTCTTTCTCTCCATCAGGTCGACGTTAGTTAGTGCGACTATTCTGAATGTCCATATCTGACGCGTTCCCTCTCCTCTCCGACAGGCAGACATGGTGGTGCCGGAGTTTGCCGGCCTGTCGGACGGAGGCCGAGGCGATGTGGATGAAATGGAGGAGCAGAGGCTCAAAAACAACATGGCCGTCAAACGCAGCCGCATGAAGAGCCGGCAAAAGATGAGCCAGATGGTGGACAGGTGGGTGCCTTCTCTCTCACAGCAATGCTAGGTTCATTTCGGTCACCACTTCTGCTGCCATAGTCAATGTGATGTGTGCGCTTGCGTCTGTTAATCGGTCCCATATTTCCAGTCGCAATGCTGCGAAGCGCCTGAAGCGACGTCCCAATTATCGCCTTCTGGCTGCCGGGCCTCCACCTGCGGTGAGCTGACCTGAGTGGCCGTTCCGCAGGTGCGGAAAGCTTCGGAAGGAGAACAACCTGCTGGAGCTGAAGGCGGACGCGCTCCTGAAGGAGCTCTCCTTCCTCAAGGAGATGTTCCTCACCCATGCCAGTGAGTATTGCCAGGCTCAGGGGAATCGTGATCACCGGTCGGAAAGCGATCGGCTTTGAGTGGTGAAGGAGGAAAGATTTAGGTCAATCCGTTCTGGTTATATAATCGTGTTGTTCAAGGTTTAGAGGTTGCGGAGACTTCAGGTCGCTAGATTGTGATACATTTTCTCGGGAAATAATAAAACGAAAAGTGTAAATGCGCGCCCCCTTTTGCCGCATTGTTAGTGGGAAAACCTGGCAGACTACAGGCAACGTCAGTTGCTTATGTTTATCTTTGGTTCTAAGGTTTATGTACTGGGACTAATGGTCTGAGCGTTCCGACAAGCCATCAAAGGCAATGGGAAGTCGAATTAAGCCGAGTATTCCGTCGCCATTCGGATGCCATCGACCGCTGCTAATAAAGCTTTCCTGTCTAAACCAGTGGCATGCACCGTCGTTCATCGCATTAATTTATACCCAGTCATGTTTAACGTCTATTTATGTTGACAAGAAGTAGAATGTTCCATGCCCTCAACGCGACCCTTATATGGGTGCGGGAAGTCGACCGCTTGCGCAACCAGAGACATAAACAGAAACAAACAGCCGCATTGACTGGCACTGCGCCTGGTTCGTGTCTGTACACAGAGCTGCGCTTCATTGATGGCCTAATGGTCCAACCGTGGGGTCCCGGCCAGCGGCGGGTGACAGGGCGCTGACCCAAATTAGATTCACACTTGCGACAGATGCGCAGCTCGATGTTTTTGTGGCGTAAGAAACATTCGATGCCAGCTGCTGTCAAAATTAATAAAAAAGCAAATACTTTGCTGTCATGGCGTCCAGTTGCCTGTCAGTTTAAATGGCGCTTCACATGACTTATGCCGAAGACCTCTATTCTTGCGACGCTAACAGTCTACTTTCTCCGCAGGTGGTAAGAAGGACGCGCCCATCAGCCAGGCGGACATGGATCGGATCATGTCTGACGACCTGCCCGGTCCCGAGCTGCCCGAGCCACTGCTGCTGGAGCAGACGGACTCGAGCGCCGAGGACGACCAGCTCAGGGCGACCCGGCTGCGGGAGGGTGAGCGGCTGTGGCTGCGCGGCGTTACATCGCCATAGCGGCCGCCGCCGCCGCCGCCCCGCCTCGGCCGGGCACCCCGTCTAATGACAAACCATTTTGAAGTGTGTTGAGCGGGCGGCGGAGGCGGCGGCGGCCCCGGCGCGGCGATGGTCGCTGCGAGTCGCCGGCGACTGCGCCGCCCTCTCCGTGTTGTGTGAGCTGGAGCCGACAGGCCCGTCGCCGGGGACGCCTCGAGTCGCCACCGGTTCAGCCTAGCCGCTGGCTCGGCGCCCCGGACGGGCTTCGGCGAACAAGCAATCGATGCTGGCGCTACCACCTCCGGCCCGCATTCCGAAGGCGTTAGCGACGCGCGCAGTTGGAGATCCGTACTGCCGTCACTTGCGAGTGTTAGCCGCGATTTGGTTGTGTTATTCGGAAGCCACGATATGATTATTCAGAGACCACGTTTTTAGTTTTCATTGTCGTTTGGGCATGTGGGGGGCGTTGGGATGCGCTGCCGCTCTGACCAGGTTCAAATTATCCGTGTGCGTGGGTCGGGAGTCTGGCACCGCGCCGAACAGCGCTCTCTGGCCTGCCATCAACGTAGCTAGACGTATATTTGGTTATGGAGGCGTAGCTGAACAGCGTCACATATTGATACGGTTGGTCTTGTTACGACACGGCACGTTAGTTCTTTGGCGTGTTTCACCGTGCGACTGCCGTGCTAGTGTGCGGGTCAACCTATGGAGCTCGAGTGCCGGTTAGTGTCGTCGGTTCGCCGAATGTTACACTCTACCGGAGACTCCGGGTGTGAGAGGACCATCTACCGCCTGGTGATGCTGAATGCTACACTCTACCGGGGTCTGATGCATGTTAGGGCTGCGTTTTGTTCGGTTATGCCGATTGCTACACTCGCCCGGAGTGTCTGATGTATGCGAGAGTTGCGTGGTAAGCTGATACCAAATGGTACACCCTACTTGGGTGCCTGATGAATGCGAGACTGCTTGCCTGTTGGGTGATGCCGAATGCTACTCTGCCGCGACTGTGAATGTGAAGGGACAGCCCGTGCCGAGGAAGTTCACTGCATACCTGAGCTACAAGCCCGGTGTTCACTACATGCAGTGACTTCCTGACTGCCTCCGTTCCCTGGCAACTGGAGATAACTTTGCCTGCGCATAGAACGACTCTTGTCTTTATCCAGAAAGAGCATGTGCGACCACACCGGTAAACAGTTCACTTCTCTCCTTCGAATATTGACTATGTATGTCGTGTAGGTTTTAGGGCTCTCCATTTAAATGAAACCTGTATTACCTTATATCAGAATGACAGCATAAGCTGTCCAACTTATTTCTCAAGCTGTTTGTGTTTTATTTTCGTTTCGTTCTTTCCTTGAGTAGTGTCGCCGCGGCTTTAGACCTTGTCTCACCGTTGGTGACTGACCCTTACCTGGTCGGCTGGATCATCCCGATGTGACACCGTACCTGATTTGTGTGAGTGTGAAAGCTGGGCCGCTGAAACCGCGAACCGCATATGCACTGGCGGATGTGTAAGGAATAAAGTGGCACCAGTTACAGGACTTTGTGTGTTGTTACGAGCGGTAGTTCATGATGGAGCTGACTAATGGAACTAGTTACTGGAGCCTTGGAACCTGGAGGAATGCTAGGATGGGTGATTGGGGACTGCGTTCCATCTGTCGAGTTGGGAAGACAACATTGAAACACTGCATGTTCGACGGAACAGAACGGATAAAAACACTGGCGAGTCGTGTAAGAAACACCAGTAGAAGCCAAGGAGAGTAGTTTTCAGCTTCATAACGACTCTCAAAAGGCACACAACGCACCTGTTCTTTTTACATGACGTAAGGGGATGATTGACTGAGAGCATTGCGAGTCAACATCTGAGCGAACGAATCTCCCATTTCTTCTACTATATGTCCATTTGGCGATAACAATTTTCGAATAAGACGGTAGATGGTTAGGTGTTGGCTCGTCGGTCAGGAACGGAACGGGCACCGTGTGTTTACCCAATAAAAGGCCGACTATTCAGCACAATAAGTCGCCCGGTAGACCCAGAATCTGCTGATAAAAACCGGCCGCCGAGCCGAGCATCCTGGTCCCCTTGAAATAATGATGTTACAGACACAAACAAGCATAGCTCGAAGCAAAACGAATGTGTTTGCCCGCCGTAAGGTGTAATTGGGGACCTATCGAACACAACCGGCTCGACGTTCGGTCACCGACGATTTTTCCTGTCCAGTGAAGTGTAAGTGGCGGGTGTCGTCGGTCAGTAAGCGCCCACCAGTACCACCTGTGGCCCGGAACGCTGTCCACACCGACAGAACCTTGCAGTTCCAATCCAGAACACTCGGCTGGCACCGCCACAGATGAGGTTGCATCAGCTCCCCTGAGTCGGTCGGCTGATCGAGCTAATGTGATATCTGCGGCACCAGCCAGCCGTCACATACCAAATATACGCACAAAGAATGTCATCACTTTGTACCGACTATGACCAGTGTACTGACTGGTAATATTAGTCTGGATAAAAACGGTGTAAGTGTTCTTCTCCTTCTAAGTGCACAGAACCGTGAATAAGAATTATGAATTCAAATACAGTTTACGACAGATAACGATTATCATGACGTTTTGAACACCACCCACAGCTTCATCGTTTCGCTCTCTTGCACAGACGAAGGGTTCGATTTTTTTTTGCCACAGCGTATAGTACGTTTTTCTTCTCACTATGTGTGACAGCGCTCTTCCTAAGGTTAGACCCGTCCCTTCCCTCGCCGACTCCCGATCATTCTGCTGTCGCTGGAGGGTACTGCGCAGTACGTAAACGCGCAGTGCGCGGCGAGGCCGGACCGACAACCGTGACTGGCCAGACTGCACGTCTGAGTTTCATCAGCCGCAGCTGGGGCCACTCACAGAGTCACACCGCCGACCGGAACGCTGGACATCCCCGTCAGGACGGCCGGGGCAGGCGCTCTCTCGTGAGGTCATCGGAACACGAGGGGAGAAAGCATCACAAGAGCTACTTCGCCGCAGAGGGCGCTTTGTTGACAAGGATAGATAACGAAAATGAGTTCCAAGCTACCTGCCCTTGTAACTTATGAGACATAGGGCTAATTCTTCTCTGGCCATATTGATTCTATAGCAGGTTCAAATTCCCCAAAGGAGCTCTAAACAGCCGGTCCTGCCAAACAAACGGGTCGACTCGAAACTAGCTGTGTGTCCGGTCACGCTCCTACACCACTAAATTCCTGCCGCAAGCCAGTCCGGTTACTCCCCCATCCCTTGCCCCTCCCTGTGATGGGTTTGCATCTCCACTAGGTTGGCACCTCATCGGCCGGTGCCGGCTGCTCCGTTCGCCTGGCCCGGGCCGCGGGGCATGACCACGGATCACGTGATCGCCTGAGGCCCGGCGCCGGCGGCTGGGGCTGCCGGCGGGCCGGCTGGGAGTCTGGCGGGAACCGGGACGGCGCGCGGAGCGGGGAGCTCCGCGCTGAGTTGTGATTGCGACCTCGTCGGCACCGGGTGGTGACGGAGTTGTTACCGACAATATATTCAGAGTTTGTGCACTTTGTCGTTTTGGCCAGACCAGCACATGGCGCGGTCGGTGGTCATTAACGTAAACCTGCAGTAAAATAACGTAACGCTGAAAATGCCTGACGAGCGTCAAGAACTGGAGGTGGCACAGGAGGCGGCGGTGGCTGGAGCCGTTCAGCCTGCGACGACAGCGGCGGCCGGGACGCAACAGAACAACACATCGTGGCTGGGAAGAGCCGCGCAGCCGGACCGTCTGGATCTGTCGACGGATCGGGGCGACGCGTTCCGCTCCTGGAAGGAGAGATGGGACGACTTTTACCTCCTCGCCGGCATCGCCAGCATGCAGCCGAACGCTCAGATGGCCGCCCTCCGATCGTGTCTGACGGACGACACGAACCGCGTCGTTCGGAACTTGCCCCTGACTCCAGAGGAACGACAGGACGTCAACGCTGTGCTGGCACAGCTAGAGACGTACGCCATTGGCCAGGTGAATGAGGTCCTTGAGAGAAAGCGGTTCAACAGCAGAGTTCAGGGTGAGGGGGAGACCTTTGATGATTTTCTTACATGTCTCCGTGACTTGTCTCGATCTTGTAAATTTTGCTCGTCGTGCAATGAATCACTGATACGGGATCGTATTGTTATTGGTCTGAGGTCGGCAGAGACCGTCCAAAAGCTCTGTGCCATCCCCAAACTCTCTCTGTCCGCCGCTATATCTCTCTGCAGGTCGGAGGAGGCAGCGTACCGAGACGCCTCGAGGATCCGAGGGCCCGACGCCACCGTCGCTCGCGTGGACCGCGACGCGACCTTCGACCAGGGCCAGCCAAGAGGTCATCACGATCTCTCCCCACCGGCGGCGTGTCGCGTGTGCGGCCCGCAGCAGGTCCATGACCGGCGGCCCGGTCCCGCAGCTCAGCCCTCGACGGGGCGACCGTCACAGCGGCAGTCTGCCCCGGCGACTCCTGGGGGCGACCGCTGCGCCAGCTGCGGGTACGTCCACCGGCGCGGTAACGACTGTCCCGCCCGGGGCCGGGAGTGCCGCGCATGCGGGAGGGTCGGCCACTTTGCCAGCGTCTGCCGATCGACGCAGGTGAGGCCGTTCCCGGGCTCACAAGTCCAGGGCGGGCCGCCGTGGCCCTCAACCTCTGCGATCATCGCGTCTACCGCTGCCGAGGGAGCCCCGAGGGTGTCCGTCCGGGTGGAGGCAGGGAACCGGAGAGTGACCGTGGACGCCCTCCCTGACACCGGGGCTGACCTGTCGGTGGGCGGCGAGGACCTCTTGGCACAGCTGGGGGCGTCCCGGGAGGATCTCCGCCGACCAGTGCACCACCCGCGCGCGGCCAATGGGAGCGTCATCCCGTCGGTGGGGATTCTGCCGGTCACCATCGCACTGGGGGACATCCAAGCAGAGGAGGAGGTACACATTCTGCCGGGAGTCAGAGGACTTCTACTGTCCTGGGAGGTCACGAGGACCCTGAAGCTCATCCCAGCAGACTACCCCCGGCAGATCGCGGCGGTAGGGAAGCCGGAGTCCACCACTGCCGCCACCGCAGAGCGCCGCCTGAGCTCGGGTCCCGATCCGACCGCTGGAGTCGGCCACTGCACGCCAACGGCCAACCCCAGCACGACGGCCGACCTGGCGGGCCCGCTGACGCCGCCTCCTGCTGGAGGGTTAGAGAACGCCCAGGACCCAACCAGCATTCAGAGACCTGCCGGGAGCGACCACTCACCAGAGTCACGTGAGTACACTGACCGATATCGGCTGATGTCGGAGTTCGAACGAGTGTTTGATGGCCACATTCGCACGATGCCAGGGGAAAAGTTTACCATTCACCTCCAACAGGATGCCCGGCCGTTCTGCGTGACGACCCCTCGGCGCATCCCGCTGTCCCTACGGGAACCACTGAAGGCAGAACTTGATCGACTGGAGGCAGAGAGAGTCATCTGCCGAGTCACTGCTCCCACCGAATGGTGTGCCCCCATCGTAGTAACGCCCAAGAAGGGAGGCGCAGGTGTGCGGCTATGCGTGGACCTATCTCAGCTAAACAAGTTTGTTCGGCGGGAGCGGTACCAGTCGCCCACACCGATCGAAGAAGTCGCCTCCATCCGTTCGTCTGAGGCGCGTTGGTTCACCGTATTCGACGCCCTGAAAGGGTACCATCAGTGCCCTCTGGCTGAGGACAGCAGACTCTTGACCACCTTCATCACCCCCTTCGGACGCTTCGCGTTTCTCAGGGCCCCGTACGGAGTGACCTCTATATCCGAGCACTACAACCGCAGAATGGATGAGGCGTTTGAGGGACTGACCGGCTTCAGAAAAGTGGTGGATGACGTGATCATCTTCAGCCGCACCAGATCGGAGCATCTTCAGCACGTGCGGCAGTTCCTGCAGCGTTGCCAGGATCGGGGAGTCTCTCTCAACGCCAGCAAGCTGCAGCTGGCACAGCAGACTGTCAAGTTTGCTGGATTCATCGTGTCCGGGGACGGCTACCGACCAGACCCGCAGCTCACTGAAGCCCTCTCACAGTTCCCGACACCCAGCAACTTGACTGAGGTCAGGAGCTTCTTCGGGCTCGTCAACCAGGTGGCTTACTTCGTGGACGACGTAGCCGAACTGCTGACGCCCCTCCGCAGCCTCCTCAGCTCACGGCGCGAGTTCATCTGGGACGAGAACCATCAGCTGGCATTCGACAAGGCCAAGGCCGCCCTGACTTCTCTTCCAACTCTCGCCTTCTACGACCCGAAGCTACCAACCCGGCTGGAGACGGACGCCAGCCGAGCGCGGGGGCTAGGGTTCGTCCTTCGTCAGGCTCATCCCGACGGCACCTGGCGCGTGATTCAAGCAGGGTCACGCTTCCTGAGCGATGCCCAGACAAGGTACGCAGTAATAGAGCTGGAGGCCTTGAGTGTGGCATGGGCGGTGCGGAAGTGTCATATCTTCCTCAGCGGGCTGCCGTTGTTCCAGATTCTGACTGACCACCGCCCTCTCGTTCCGATACTCAACAGCAAGATGATGGACGAGATCGAAAACCCA